AAAAAAAATCTTAATTATTCTAAACTTTGTATAATGTTTTGTGATTCTAGAACTCTAGAACTGAAACACTACATAAGTTACAGAAATAAGATGTAAGTTTAACATTTTAAAAATATTTTGCCCTTATTTTCACTTAGGTTTTTGATCAGAGTGCCCTGTCACATGAGGCAAAGGAAGAAATGTATAAGCTGTACCCCAACGCTAGAAGAGCTCACCTCAAAACAGGAGGAAACTTCCCATATCTGTGCAGAAGTGCAGAAGTCAACCTGTACATACAAGTGAGTTTCAAGTTGTTGAAAGGAATATTTCAACCAAAAATTTAAATACTGTCATTATTTACTCACCCTCATGTTGTTCCGACCTCAAATAACTGACTTTCTTCTGTGGAACATGTATGAAGAAAATTTGACATGCTCATTTTCCTGCAATTATAGTAATCCAAAGCTTTAAAAGTTCAAAAAGAAGCAAGTAGTCAGTCTTGTGTCTGAATCTTAGCCATATGATAGATTTTTGTGAGAAACAGAGTAATTTGTTATTTGCTAAAAATCAGTTCTTGAATAAATTGTTCTTTTGATTCACAAACTCACGACTCAATGATCAGACTGCAATAGTTTTTGGAATAGACTTTTTGGAATTAGATTCTCAGTGAATAAAGACGGCCTGTTTTAAAGACATAAGGACCAGTTTTATGATACTAAAGCTTGACATTTTCAGTGAATGGTGATTAAAAACAATGCAATCATGTTGTGATTTCAGGGGCTTAATTTGCATTGTTACTCGGCTTTTACTCCATAGATACACCTGCGTCAGTTTCATGGGACACGGTACGCCGCTATCAGTCCAGAGATGGTCAGTGCAGAGGAGCTGGAAGTGCAGAGGACAAATCTGAGCAACAACCGTAAGAGTGACAATGAATCGTAGAGAGACCAACAGGCTTCATACAAGCATCTTCTGAATGTTGACTAGATGAATCGGGATCTGAATTGAACCCGTTTCAGCTACACAACATTCAGAGATCACGTTCCAGTATTCTGTTTATATGACCTTAAACTCAGTCAAATGTGAATGGACTTTAAAGAGCCTATTTTTACTTTATGGAAAATAAACAATATTTTGATAAGTATTATGACTGTAAATAAGTGAAATTGATTACATGGTAAGAGTTTTCATAGAATGCCATATTTTGACCTGGTTGCCTTACACATTATAAAATGCACGCATTTGTTAAATTTAGCACTTTTTACTCCTTGAACTTAATTTTCTGCCTTTTTTACATTGGTGTTATTTTTTTGTCATGTACTTGGTTGAAATTGATTACATGGTAAGAGTTTTCATAGAATGCCATATTTTGACCTGGTTGCCTTACACAATATAAAATGCACGTATTTGTTAAATTTAGCACTTTTTACTCCTTGAACTTAATTTTCTGCCTTTTTTTACGTTGGTGTTATTTTTTTGTCATGTACTTGGTTTGTTTGTAATGAATGTTGTCAATGTTATTATGTCTGTTGGAGTCATGCACTGATATAAACCGAAACTCGTTTCAACACAAGATTGTATAAATCTCTTACCTTTTCCAAGTGACCTACCAGGAGTCTTTGATTTGGAAACAAATGTAAAAGTGTCATTATTTACTTAAAAAAAAAAAAGGCCGTGTAACCGCAAAAGACAGGTATTGATCATTATTATAGATTTACAACAATTTATTACACGTTCTGCGTGTTAAACTCTCACCTGCCATTTATGTTCACTAAATCATTACCATACAATTAAAACACTGCTATGGCTACACAATAAAAATTATTCATCTTATTAAAGTGTTTACATAAGAATCAGATTAATGAATTGGGCATTACAAATTTATGGCATGCAAATAAATTCAAGTCTCTACCAGAGTAGGCCAGATTATTATTTGTTTTAGACCATCACCTAAATACAATAGTATATGAATATAGTAATCATTCAGTACCATGATATTATGATCTGGTACCACCATAATAGTTTTTTGAAGGTGCCAGCACATTAAACTTGGCATGAAACAGAAGTTGCAACCAACATTACAACAGTATTGTGACGTTTTTCGGAGTGAAACATCAGGATCAGAATAGAGGTGGATGTGAATGCCGCTGGCTTAAAGGAACAGTTCACCCAAAAATGTCAATTTGCTGCAAATTTACTCCCCCTCAGGCCATCCAAGATGTAGATGAGTTTGTTTCTTCATCAGAACAGATTTGGAGAAATGTAGCATTACCTCACTTGTTCAGCAATGGATCCTCTGTAGTGAATGGGTGCCGTCAGAATGAGAGTCCAAACAGCTGATAAAAACATCACAATAATCCACAAGTAATCCACACCACTCCAGTCCATCAGTTAACATCTTGTGAAGTGAAAAGCTGCATGTTTGTAATAAACAAATCCATCATTAAGATGTTTTAACTTTCAACAATCGCTTCTGAATCAGGAAAGAAATATGCACAGAACAAGCACCAATTACATGTGAAAACAGTCCAAAACAATTAAACAAATGTTATGGACTATTACAGAAAGATTACACAAAGATTATTGCACTAATTCTTGAGAGGAAACCTTGTGGCAACGAAAATACAGAATGAAATAAGCAGAACTTCCTGTTGTAATATTTATGTTTATTGAGACGGCTTGTGTTGCTTGGAGACAGCTTGCAAAATCATTTCAAGAGAAAACAGCTGCCTGTTCCTCAGAGATGGCTGGTTTTGATTGATCTGTTTGCGTCATATTTTCACCTAATTTAAAAATGGCAATGTGATGCACTTGACTAGCATTTTGGTTGGCGTACATAGTAACATTTGGTTACTACCCGATAACCACTGGTGACTGCAAATTTGCATCTTTTGTCTTGGCAGAAATATTTTCATACGTCAATATTAACTTTTAACCTGCTTCAGATCAGCACTTAATTTCCTGTTGAGTCACAGTCCACTAAAGCCATTATAACAAAAATATGACACAAATATCTAGATAGAGTTTTAAGTGCAATCTACAATTAAACTAAATTAAATAACAGCCTTTTAGTGTGGGAAAAAATCAACACCTTAACAACAACTCTAGTCATGCTGCATACTGTGACTCATACTTTACGCAATACTTTAAAACAAGTACACTTACAAATCAAACAAGTACAGTTTCAGTTACAGTCTACGCATTTTTCAGGCATCTTTAACATCACAACCAACATTTACACATCTCTTGCTTAGGCAGGCTGAATATATTCAGAATGTTTGCATAAAAAATCATTTCAAAAGAAAACAGCTGCCTGTTCCTCAGAGATGGCTGGTTTTGATTGATCTGTTTGCGTCATATTTTCACCTAATTTAAAAATGGCAATGTGATGCACTTGACTAGCATTTTGGTTGGCGTACATAGTAACATTTGGTTACTACCCGATAACCACTGGTGACTGCAAATTTGCATCTTTTGTCTTGGCAGAAATATTTTCATACGTCAATATTAACTTTTAACCTGCTTCAGATCAGCACTTAATTTCCTGTTGAGTCACAGTCCACTAAAGCCATTATAACAAAAATATGACACAAATATCTAGATAGAGTTTTAAGTGCAATCTACAATTAAACTAAATTAAATAACAGCCTTTTAGTGTGGGAAAAAATCAACACCTTAACAACAACTCTAGTCATGCTGCATACTGTGACTCATACTTTACGCAATACTTTAAAACAAGCACACTTACAAATCAAACAAGTACAGTTTCAGTTACAGTCTACGCATTTTCAGGCATCTTTAACATCACAACCAACATTTACACATCTCTTGCTTAGGCAGGCTGAATATATTCAGAATGTTTGCATAAAAACTGGGTTGACACAAACTTTGATTCTCAAGCGTGTGATTCGATTCAGTTCCGATCTCGATTCGATACTGATTCATTTGGATACGTATCAGGTACAAAACATGTCAGTTTTTCTCAAGTAAAGAAATCTCAACTAATGCCGTAAACTGTAAAGGGAAGAAGATATACTAAGCCTATACTTAATGATATAACTATGCTCCAATTCATTTTTTAAATCTAAACATTTAAACGGTGGCTATCATATAAACGTGTTTTGATGATGGATTTATTCAAATATCGGAGAACAGGTTAAGTAAAAAATATAATAAATATGTAACAGTGCATATATTCGCCTAAATTCTTCTCTATAGAGTTTATTTATAGCTAACTGTCCAGCTGTGGGCATTGAATGGCTTTTCTGAGGTAAACGTTACATGACATCGTTAACAAGCTGTTCTTTCCGCAGCTGAAAACTGATTGAGCACTTGCATGAGACATGATACATTTTCAACAACTTCCGATGTTCATTCATGTTTATTTCATACAATAACTAGTAGTAAAGGGGAAAATATGTTTGGTTCACGTGTGCTCGAAATGAGGTGCTACAGCCATCTGTCACACTTCATTAAAAAGCGCCAAAACTGTATTTATTGTTTGAATTTCCTAAAAAAAAGTGACCGAATTTTAAAGCTAAGACTTTGTTTTATATCAAAAGTAACAAAGCACAAAGCATGTTGGGATTTACTACAAAAAACAAAAAAAAAAAGAGAGAGAACTTCATGTCAACCCAGCCCTAATTTGCATAAAATACTACAGTGGTTTATTCTCTTAATTTCATTGCACCTTCTTCACTCTTTTGTCCCGTGTTCATATAAGAACATTTGCACATACAAAAAAAGGTTTGGGCCTTTCAGTCTTGCAAATCCTATAATGAACAGGATGATCACACATTTAAACACACATAAAACGTGTTACCCAGTATCCTGAGCTATGCAGCTGTATTAGTATTATTTTTGTTTCTAGTCTTAAAAATAACAATTACAGTAGAAAAGCTGCAGCTACAAATAAATAGGACAGAAATACATGCATAACTGTAAAAATGAAATGTGAAAAGTGAAATTCAGCATGACCAATATTGTTATTGCTTGGCATGTTTTTCGACAGAGAGAGAGAGCGAGAGAGAGAGAGAGAGAGAGAGAGCGAAATCTACCTGTTCTCCAAAAAAGTGTTCTGTCATTTTCTCAATATGAATGGTTCCACAGAAACACATCATTTCAATCCAAAGTCATGTTTGCTGTAAATATTTGCTCTGGGTGTGAACAGGCTAAGTTTTCTTCTCAGTCACATCACTGGGGTTATATTTGAGGGAGTATTTGTGTTTCGTCAGTGCTGTGTATTTGAAGAGCATCCAATCTCCTGGTTGGTACGTGCTCAGTCTAGACCTTTCTCAATAAATCTCACATTACATTGTAGAGCATTTTTTAGCAGAAGACGGATCCACATTTGCCTGCTGTCGCATGCTTTCTGTTTGGAAGAAAAAAAAAAGTTATAAAAGAGGGAAGGTAAAGCAAGGTTGTAGACCGTGAAACTATAAAAAAAATATATACTCAATAGCTCTGATCCGAAACCCAGAAAGTTTTCTTGCTGCTTACAATCATCTAAGGCATAATCCTAGTCAAAATGGCATGCAAAACTTTATTTGGTCACATACATGAAAAGATAGACATATAAAGTTATCGGTTCTTGGCCAGAATAATAACCTAACTAGAATTTTAAAATTGAATTTGCATACAAATTCACTACAATGCATTCTGGAACTGCATTTCAAAAAAGACACACGCAATTCTGCCAACAAGATTTTCATGTTGCTGCCTTTGAGTCTGAAATGCACATGTGATGCATAAAAATTCTGTCTAGATAGGCATCACAGTAGGTTTAGAAACAGATCTTATACACATATGAAGTGTAATGCTGAATTCACCTGCCAAATCAGTCATTGAGATTCCAGTCAGACCTTCGTACAAGCCCTTGATGGGGTTTTCTCCAGCGGTGATCACTCCGTGCAGCCAGATGAGCAGCATCCTATGCCCGTGCTCCTTGTAGCTCTTTGTACCTTTCAAAGTTCAGAGCTTGTCATCACTATGACAGATATCTTATCACACTGAACACACTGGGGCTGCCCTGTGAGAACTATGCACTACATTTGGGAAAATTGAAGGCTAGTCTAACTGTTTGAGTAATAGTGCTGAGGAATACAAGGGCTCTTAGAGGTGTTGTTTTCTGATTTAGAATTCAAAGTTAAGCAGACTGCTTTACACTAATTACTATGTTTACTGGCTCATGTAATTAACCTATTTTCCTTAGTGTAATAAAAACAGCATGTCTTCAGAAAACGTCTGAGAAATGTCTATTTCCAGACCTCGTATATTCAGACGTTTTGTATTTTTGTGCATATTTTGACATTAGGATTTTTGGCATTTTCAGGAAAGCATTTGTAGCCCCATTAAGAAAAGTTATTTACTTCTAATAAAATAAACCCATTTGTATTTCCCCATTTATAATCATTACATTTTAAGGGGTTACATAGAATACAATTTTGCTTTTAATTTAAATCATATTCTAACTAAAAAATCGTAGCGTTCAAAAGTTTGGAGTCAGTCATTTTTTATTTATTTTTTGTTTGCATTTATTTCTTAGAAATACAGTAAAACAGTAATATTGTAAAATATTACAATTTAAAATAACAGTTTTCTATTTGAATATATTTTAAAACGTAATTTATTTCTGTGATGCAAAGCTGAATTTTCAGCATCATTACTCCAGTCTTCAGTGTCACATGATCCTTCAGAAATCATTCTAATATGCTGATTTGATATTCAAGAAACATTTATGATTATCAATATTTAAAAGAGTTGTGCTGCTTAATATATTGTAAAAACCATGAAGCATTTTTAGGATTCTTTGATATATATGAAGAGTTTATTTGCAAAAACATTAATAAACGTTAATTACATTTTTCAAAAATCATGTTTTTTTATTATGTTATGTTTTTATTGTTTTTTATTGTGTTAGTTAGCTGTGTTTTTTAGTTATTTAGTGAAAAATTTAAGGGGGTCTGAATACTTTCCGTACCCACTGTATATAATTTTTTTAAAATGCACTCAGCAGATAGTTAAATGACGTACCTGTCCATTGGTGCTCTATGGCTCGAATATGTGCTTCTGAGAACTTCCAGTGCCGAGCCAGTGTTTTCCACTCGCCTGGTTTGAGATATTTGGTGGCAAGCTTCCATAGGACAGATCAGATATGCTGTGTCTCCTGTCGATGATCTTGTTTAAAGGTAAGACTCGTTCCCACCAGAGAGTCAGAGTCACTCGTCACATTTTCCTAGAAAGTAAATGAACACATTTAAAATCTTCAATATTCAAATGATATCGGAATCAATTAATTTAAGCTTAATATACACTGAACGTACCTTCTCCCATTTGTAAAATCTGTCAGCTTTGATAATCATGTCAACGACATTCACATGGTTGCCTCGTGCTGCAACATCCAGTGATGTCTTTCCCTGCTGTAAATATCTTTTGTTCAACTGTTTGATCACAAGTGTATTACAATATGAAAATGTATCAACCACACTCAAGTACGACAACAGTAATTTGCACCTTGTCAAGCAGATTGAGGTTGACTCCAGATATCAGGATCATCTCAGCGATGTTCTGCCGTCCGTGTTCTGCTGCTATGTGCAAAGCAGTTTGAAGCCGCTGCGAGGAACAATTGTTGATGAATGAGTGAAGAAACCATTTCCTTAATCCGTGAAATCATAAATGTGAAACACTCACATTGTCAAAGATGTCCAGGTCGCATCCCGCATCGACAAGACCCTTGACTATTCCTGTGGAGTTGTTGAGTACTGCCAAGTGCAGAGCTGAAGTATGTTGCTGGTAAGGAAAAATGTCTGTAAATACTTTGGATATTCTGAATTGTAAAACTTAAAATTGTAAAGTTTCTGATGTTTTAGCTCCTGACTCGCGAATCAGGTAAATTGTCAAATGTGCCCAAATTATGCACTCCACATTGTGATCTTACTAAAATTAATTCTTTCATCAGTGTACTTTTTTTCTTTAAGAGGCGTTAATGTTGTCTGGATGTGGCCTTAGATGTGTGCATGCATGTGTATTTGCTACCCAGCTAACAGAGAATGTTCTCAGAACTTTAGCTCACATTCTGGCAAGGTTCTAACAGTTTATGAACACGTAACGTTAATAGAATGTTCATTCAAAATGTCTAATAATAATAATGTCTAATAACATTTTTTATGGAACTTTTTTCTGAAACGTTTCAGTTGGATACGAATCTAAGATGGTTTATAGAACATTCAAAAGTAACATTCCCATAATTTTAGCAAAATAATGAAACGTAACACTCCCCATAATGTTGCCTTTAACACTGACAATTGGACAGGAATAAATCCACAAAATACTTGTCCCAAATAGTGCTTTTGTCATGCACTTAAAGGAAAAAACAGCTGAATGATGCAGTAAAACTTCTGTATAATATTATGTCTTAAACATGTCTGTAACATAATCAAGATGGCCTTGTACCCAGTGCTGTCCTTAGGGCCCCCCCGGAACGTGATCACGAATGGACCGAGGGGGGCCCCGCTCCCTACCTCGCACCAGGCCCCGCGTCAGCTAAGGACGGCCCTGCTTGTACCTATAATTTAAGGGGGTCTGAATACTTTCCGTACCCACTGTAGGTGTGTGCATATCTGTTATGCAGAGCATTATTATTGGACACCGCTAACAGAGAATCCAGCAAATTAGTTGTTTTCAATGGGCATGCCATTGCCATAGTGAATTTTTCCCCTAAAATTCTATCCTGTTCTACAAAAGCAAATAAGCTGGGGGTTTTAGTACTCACTGTGTCTACTGAATTCAGATTGATCCCAGCCTGTACCAGCAGTTTGATCTCTCTTCCTGAGCTATGCAGGGCCACCAGATGAAGAGCTGTCCTGTTACTCTATAAGAAGAAACACTTTACGGTGTGCTTTGACTTGTACTGAAAGTTGAAAACCGCATTAGTTAGCATTATACAGACTGATGATAGTATAAAACAATGTCCTCACATGAGTAAGTTCATTAACATTGCAGCCAGCCTCCAGCAAGAGTCTGATACATTCGTAATGCCCTCCTTCAGCTGCCAAATGTAAAGCCGTCATGCCATCCTGATAAAAGATCACAATGTGAAGCAAATAACACCAAAACCAAAAGAAACTCTTATAAATGCACACAAAAACGGGATCTACTTACAATGTTTTTTTCATCAATGCTCTCCCCGGTTTCCATGATCTTCTGTAGGACGTCACTGTGGCCTTGCTTAGCTGCCAAATGCAGTGCAGTGTTTTCCTCCTGCAGTTCATGAACATCATATTAGTGCTGCATCAATGTTTATAATTTCTTTTTCCTTCGTTATTGCCAATGTTTTCCCATTCTTTGTATGTTTTTGTTTTGGTTTAACTAACCAAAGTAGGGCAGGTGATGCATCTACTGTAGCATGCTGAATGTGTTTAGTTTCTCTTTTTCTTTTGTAGTTAGGTCAGATTTATACATTTGTAGTTGATTTGTTTTCTATTTTGACAATTTCTTTGGAACCTCTGAATTTGGCACCATTCTGCATGTCTTTTCTTCTTATATAAATATCATATTTTCAATGGGCATGCCATTGCCATAGTGAATTAGAGATAAGGTATCTTATATTATCATGTTGCAATTTAGATTTTTTTTTGTTTAACCTCACATGGCACATTTGATGTCAGCAAACACCGATTAAAATAAAAATTCAGTGCCACACCACTCAAGTCTAGAGTTTTTATTTGGATCACATTGACAAGTTCTTCTGAATGAAGAAACGTTATTCTGAAAACTTTGGCTCGCTTTGCCCTCTACTTTGGCATTTTACATCTAGTAGTAGAGAAAATCTAATTAGCACACACTGAGGAGCGTCTGTGCACCCGTGACTCTTGCTGTCCCTCACCTTGTCCTTGAGGTCATGAGCACAGCCCATACCAATGAGAAACTCCACCACCTCCAGGCGTCCATGCTCCGCGGCCAAATGAAACGCTGTCTTACCTGACTGACACAGCAGATGGACACACGTTAGAAGAAAGTTAAGTCAAGTCAAGTCACCTTTATTTATATAGCGCTTTTAACAATACAGATTGTGTCAAAGCAACTGAACAGCATTAATTAGGAAAATAGTGTGTCAATAATGCAAAATGACAATAGTAAACACTAATTTTCCAGTTAAAGACAGTTCATCATTGAATTCAGTGATGTCATCATCCAGCTAAGTTCAGTTTAAATAGTATCTTTGCAATCATTTGCAATCAAATCAACGATATCGCTGGAAATGAAGTGTCCCCAACTAAGCAAGCCAGAGGCGACAGCGGCAAGGAACCAAAACTCCATCGGTGACAGAATGGAGAAAAAACCTTGGGAGAAACCAAGCTCAGTCGGGGGGCCAGTTCTCCTCTGACCAGACAAAACCAGCAGTTCAATTTCAGGCTAGCAAAGTCACATTGTGCAGAGGAATCATCTGGTTCCTGTGGTCTTGTCCCGGTGGTCGTCTGAGACAAGGTCTTTACAGGGGATCTGTATCTGGAGCTCATCTAGTTGTCCTGGTCTCCGCTGTCTTTCAGGGCTGCGCACTGAGGAGCGTCTGTGCACCCGTGACTCTTGCTGTCCCTCACCTTGTCCTTGAGGTCATGAGCACAGCCCATACCAATGAGAAACTCCACCACCTCCAGGTGTCCATGCTCCACGGCCAAATGAAACGCTGTCTTACCTGACTGACACAGCAGATGGACACACGTTAGCGCTTTTAACAATACAGATTGTGTCAAAGCAACTGAACAGCATTAATTAGGAAAATAGTGTGTCAATAATGCAAAATGACAATAGTAAACACTAATTTTCCAGTTAAAGACAGTTCATCATTGAATTCAGTGAATTATGTCAGAAAGGACATAATGTACAGTACTACACTCTTTAAAATAAAGGTTACCACAGGGGGGTTTCATAGCAATGCAATAGAAGAACCATTTTTGGTTCCTCAAAGAACCATTCTGTGGACAGTTCTTAAAATAATCTCTTAATGTTAAGAATATTTTAATAATCTGAAGAACCTATTTCCATTATAAAGAGCATTTTTTGTAATGGAAAGGTGTAGTTTCCATAAAAGTTTTATAGCTTTGCTTCATCTGTTATTATTTCAATGGGTAATAAAACATCCCTGCTGAAAAAACAAACAAACAATAGAAACCATCACAGAAATCCTGATGGTTTCCACTACAAATACCATTACAAACAAACCAAACCAAACTTTTAACCATTAAAACCATTGAAAAATGGTTTGCTGTAGTGTGTTTTGGGACATGTTCCATTAAAGGAGACATATTATGCCACTTTTTACAGTATGTAATATAAGTCTCTGTTGTCCCCAGAATGTGTCTGTGAAGTTTCAGCTCAAAATACCCCACAGATCATTTATTATATAATTTTGAAAATGGCTATTTTGAGTGGAAGCAGAAACACGCTGTTTTTCGTGCCTGCCTCTTTAAATGCAAATGAGCTGCTGCTCCCCGCCCCCTTTTCCAGAATAGAGCTG